AGCTTTAGCCACGCGAAACGACGAAACACCACATCTAAAACTCACAGTTGTTGTCACGGAAAGTACGTTAGTGAAATCAGTTATGAAAGAAGTAGCACAAAGAATGGAGAAATTTGCTAGGTTAATGGGAGTGCCTTTTGAGTTCAATGTTTTAGGTGGATTGAACAACTTGAAAGAACTCACAAAGGAGAGTTTGAATATTAAAGAAGAAGAAGCAGTGGCAGTTAATTGCATTGGTGCCTTGAGAAAAGTTGAAGTAGAAGAAAGGGGAGATGTTATAAGAATTCTTCAATCACTTAACCCTAAAGTTGTGACAATAGTAGAACATGAGGCTGATTTTTCTAGCNAACATGAGGCTGATTTTTCTAGAACAAGGAATGACTTTGTTAAGTGTTTTGAAGAATGCCTTAGGTTCTACACATTATACTTTGAGATGCTTGATGAAAGCTTTCCAATCACGAGCAACGAAAGGCTTGTGATCGAAAGGGAATGTTCCAAAAGCATAGTTAAGGTTTTGGCTTGCGGTGATCAAATTGGTGAAGGAGATGGTGAAACAAGAGAAAGAGGAAATCAATGGTCTGAAAGGCTTAGAGAGTTGTTTTCTCCATTTCCACTCAATGATGATGCTGTTGATGATGTTAGGTCCTTGCTTAAGAGATACAAAGCTGGATGGTCACTTGTGCTACCACAAGAAAATCAAGAGTCACCTGGAATTTACTTGACTTGGAGAGATGAACCTGTGGTATGGGCTTCAGCATGGAAACCCCAGGAAAAATCAATGGAGCGATATGATCAGTGAAGATTCGTAATGCTGAATCGGACCTGCTTAGGATTGCAGCATAGTAATTATAGCCTTTAGCTTACAACAAGCTTGATAGCATTTGATTTTTCTATTTTTTGGAACCCAAGAGCATAGATAAGCTGGAGGTTCCTTTTTGGTTTTTTTTTTTTCAATTCCTTTCTATCTTTCTCTTCTAATGGATCTTGGAAACATATATATAGGACTATTACTACTAGATTATAACCTTCATTTCATTTTCTACCTTTTAGATTCAACAACACTATAATGCTTTGTGCTTGGGAGTTTGTATTGCTTTCTTTCTTTTTGCTTGTTTTTCTCAATCTCTTCTTGGTGAAAGTTTTTGCATCTGTACTAGCTTTTTCAAATTATGGTTTCTTTTTCACTTATCTTTTTGCTTGGTATTGGTCATTTGTACTCCAACACTTTAATTAGCCTTTGGTATAGGGGACCTCTCCGCAATTAATTATAATGTAAATTGGAGGTTGTTTTCCCCTTTTCTTATTGGCAGTACTTATTATTACAAATAAATTTAGATTCTCCTTTAAGAATATATTAGACGGAAAAGAAAGAAAAAAAATTCTAACTCATTCCTCCTCTTTTCCCTAACATAGTCTTCTAATGAATGTGCCTAAAATGGCAGTTAAGCTAATCGTGCATACGAATAGAGGAGGAGAGATGGTACGTAGCAATTATTATGAATAATATATTTTTCATAGAAGGTCTACTTATTGATATTTGTCATGAAGATTCTTTTTTTTTTTTTTTTTTTTTGCAAATTAAAGAAAAGAAATATCAAGTGATACAAAGATTTAACAAGAAAATATCGAAAAAAAGAAGGATAGGAAAGAAAAGAAAAAAGTAAAAAGAAGGGGACCCTATGAAGGGAAATTGGTGGCAAGCAGAAGCATACCAACTTGATCCCATGGTTGCCTTTATGTCTAGTGATATGAATAGCATAAGTTTGATTTTCCATTTACGTACAATAGCCACAGGCCAACATGAGTTAGTGGCGAACCACTTTTATTGATTTAGATAAGACTGGCGCTAAACTTGCCCTGTTTCAATTTACCCCTACTTTCTTCATTTTGTCCTTTTGTGATCGGGAGATGGAACTTTGAGCATTTCCTCACCACCAAATGCTCCAATGACAAAGTCAGGATTTTTAAATGGGAGAGGGCTCAAATTTACTACTTTATTATACCGTTTGTATAAAAATACTTTTGATGTTATACTATTGAATTAAATTTATCCCTCATTCATTATAATTGTTTAACGTAAATGTTCAATATCACGTGGCACTAATATTTTGCCCACCTGGCATGCCACATGAAAATAAACAAACCATAACTAGTTGATCTCTAAGCAGCAAAGAGGAACTACTGGCATTTAATCATGGTTGGAAGAGTTTTTTTAATTAAATAAAAGTTAACTGCTGGATTAAAAAGTGAACAGGTGTTTGTGCATTACACAACTGGAGAGACATATACCATACTGGAGGGGAGCCTATTCTGAAAGGTGTAGGGTAAATTAGCTTCGAGGCAATGAGCTGGCATGCCACGCCGTCAAATTTCAGTGCCACGTGAGATTGATATTCATTTTGGATAACCTTAACGGAGAAAGGGTATATTTAATCCAAATATGTAACATCAAGGGCATTTTTAGGTGAAAAGTACAATAAAGGGTAAACTTAATCCTTTTCGTATAGCAAGGGATAAATTCGACACTTATCCTTATTTAAATCATAAATGCTCAACTATTTTTAATATTAAATACTTTTTTCTAAGATTGCATGATAAATCTCCTGCATTTACTAGTTTTCTGCATAGAATAAATATTGTTCGAGTCAAAAAAACAATAGGTGCTTGAGCACCCAAAAGTGGCAATGTAGATTTGCTATTGAGCGCTCCTCATGATGGCCAGGACTTCGATACATTTAGAAAGTAAGTACAAGAATAAAGTTTTTAGCATTATCACAATATCACTTATATGAGGTTTTGAAAAAAGTAAAATTAGTACATTTCAATTCGAAACTAGTTGATCGATTGTATAAATCCTTAAATATTTCTTCCATTTCATTCAGATATGTTTCTAGAGACGAATATTTAGGAATATTTAAACTTCATAATTAACTTTAAAAGTTCTTTACCGCTGAACCCATTGTACTTTTCAAATTATAGGTGTTTACCCTAAAATCTGAGTAACAATTAAACTTGTATTGTGGTTTTAAAGATATGTGATTTAGTTCAATACCAACTGATAATCAAAGAATCAAACGTATAAGTTAAAGAAATAAGTTGAATCAAACCAGTGAACAAGCCAGTCTCGATCTCGAGCTAAGGTGGTCTCGAGGTAGGTCAGTAAGAACAATAAAGCTAAAAGACAATTCTGATGAGCAGTAAGCAAGAAAATAAAAATGTATATTCTCTTCTTAATGATTGATGCGGTACAAATGATTGTGGTCCCCTTTATATAGTAGGGTAATCCTAAATAAGGTACATTTTCAATTGTAGTAAGGAATCTTATTATACAGCTGTCTAACCGCCTAGTACAAATCCGTTCCAGAATTTACGCCGCAATTTTAGGGCCACTATGGGAATCTCGCTCTTTTCTGTTATGGAACTATAACGGTATTATTTCGAGGTCGGTCATACTTGGCCTCGGTGTTTATCGAGTACTTCGATCTTCGAAGCTTGTACTTTGCCATCGGGCTCGCGCCCGATCTTTTTCGATCTCACTCTCGAAGTGACCCTCGAGCCCACCTGTGAGCACGTGATTTTTGCCTTACGAAAACTACTCCAAAATAAAATCAAACAAATAAAATAAATTTCTTTTACTGTGTAATTTTTGAATTTGCGTGGTGTTAAATATTTGTGTTATGACCATAAATGTTTACTTTGTCATAAATAAAATGAAAATTAAAATAAAACACATGTTGCATGCATATAGGATTTAATTATGCATTTGAAAGATAATTTAAATAAAATCACAAAAAATATGCATTCGTTCTATTTTTAAATGTGTCGATGTTTTATCTACGTGTTAATGGTTATTAAAAGATAATTAGTATTATTGTAATAATAATTTTATTTTTATAATTTTTGATTAGGATTTTATTAATTAATAATAAAATAAAAATATAAACTAGAATAT